GAAGAACTCCCATTCCCCGACTGTATGACTTCCTTCAAAGCTATAGTAATTAAGTGTATAGAATTGATGTAAGAATATGGCATATATTGGGTCGGCAGCTACGTAATTGCGGGTTTCACACATATATGGCTTCAGTTGAATTTTTAGGTTTGCAGACGTAGTACAAATGTAAAACACATTTTGTTATTTGATAGTTGGCTATTCAGCTGTTAATCAGTAAAAAAAGTTTTTTGATCTGTTTTGTAGTTTTCGTTTGGCGTTCGTTGAAAAATGGAAAATCAAAAGGAACATTTTTGTCATATTTTGCTTTTTTATTTCCGCAAAGAGAAAAACACATCGCAAGCTCATAAAATGTTATGTGCTGTTTATAGTGACGAAGCCTTAAAAGAACGGCAGTGTCAAAATTGGTTTGCCAAATTTCGTTCTGGTGATTTTTCACTCAAAGATGAAAAACGCTCTGGTCGTCCAGTTGAACTTGATGACGCCCTAATCAAAGCAATAATCAATTCGGACTGTCACAGTACAACACGTGAGATTGCAGAGAAGCTTCATGTATCACATACATGCATTGAAAATCACTTAAAACAACTTGGCTATGTTCAAAAACTCGATACATGGGTTCCTCACGAACTGAAAGAATCACAGTTAACGCAACGCATTAGCAGCTGCGATTTGCTAAGGAAACGTAATGAAAATGATCCATTTTTAAAACGACTGATAACTGGCGATGAAAAATGGGTTGTTTACAACAATATCAAGCGGAAAAGATCGTGGAGCAGGCCAGGTGAACCAACTCAAACAACATCAAAAGCTGATATTCATCAAAAGAAGGTTTTGTTATCAGTTTGGTGGGATTACAAAGGAATTGTCTACTTTGAACTCTTACCACCCAACCGAACGATCAATTCTGATGTCTACATTGAACAACTAATGAAATTAAACAATGCAGTTGAAGAAAAGCGGCCCGAATTGACAAATCGAAAAAGTGTTGTATTCCATCATGACAATGCAAGGCCACACACATCTTTGGTCACTCGGCAAAAATTAATGGAGCTTGGTTGGGATGTTTTGCCACATCCACCATATAGTCCTGACCTTGCACCATCTGATTACTTTTTGTTTCGATCTTTACAAAACTCCTTGAATGATAAAAATTTCAATAATGATGATGATGTCAAATCGTACCTGATTCAGTTTTTTGCTAATAAAAACCAGAAGTTTTTTTAACGTGGGATTATGATGCTGCCTGAAAGATGGCAAAAGGTCATTGATCAAAATGGGCAATACATTACAGAATAAAGTTATTTAGTTCCATGAAAAAATTGTCTTTGATTTTCTTTAAAAAATCCGCAATTACTTAGTTGCCGACCCAATAGATCAATTTGCAAAGCAGATAACTCAGAAATGGAACCAAACACATATGATCAACTGAACTGAGCAGGTGATTTTATGAAGAAAGGATAATCTTCTTAACAAACAGTAATAGAACAATTGAAAACCATATGTAAATCAACCAACCAACCTACAAAAAAAAAAAAAAAAATCCCACAAAAATGACCCACACACTTATCCATATATAAAATTCAGCTTTAAATGGATCATGGACCTCAGTGTAAAACCTAAACTATAAAAGTTCCAGAGAAAAACATAGGAGAAAATCTTTATGACTATGAATTTAGCTAAGATTACTTGATAGAAACTTGAAGTATAAGTCATTAAAATTTGTATAAATAGGGCTTCTTAAAAATTAAAAACTCTTTAAAAAAATCAATAAGAAATGGAAACACATGTCACAGAATAGGAGCAATGATTTGCAAACAAATATATGATGGACTTTTAGCCAGAATATATAACAATTTCTAACAAATTAATAAAAAATAAGTCAACATAAATAAATAAATTCTGAACTTTTATTTAAGAACTAATACAGATTTTCTAAGATGGTGGGGTAGTTAAATGCCTGTATTCACCGCCTCCCACAACCACATCAAAATTACAACTAAAATACAGAACAACCATCCTCCAGAATTGCTGGAAAGCTGGCTGAATAGAAGTACTGCAATTAGAGAAGTTAAAGAAGAAAGCACACAGACTGATAGGAGTTGCAGAGGCACAGAACAAGCTGGTCTGGCACCCACATGGGCTGCTTTTTTAATCAGAAGGGAGGCCACCTGGAGGAGCAAGGGGTCCCAGCCCCACACCAGACCTCTTAGCCCAGGGTCCCAGAGCTGGGAAAAGAAGTCCCTACGGGCAGTTAAGAACTACAGGCTGTAAAAACCAGTGTGGACTGGGGCTCAGGGACACAGAGGCTGCTGGAGACCCAGCTGCTCCTCTTAAAAGGCCAGCACCACAAACTAAACGTACAAGCTCCCACTTCCTCTGAGCTCCAGTGCTGGGCCAGGCTCTGGGGAACCCAGACACATACTAGGAGGAACTGGACTGTCTGGCATCTGAGCAGGAACCTGGGGGCGGCTTCTTCCCAGGCAGAAGTTCTCTCAAGGATCCTTGTTTCTACTATAGGACCTCCCTGGTCACAGGACTGATTGGCAGCCATTTCCCTTTGCTCCACCCTTGTGATTCCCTGAGAACCCACTTCATCCAATTTATAACTGCACCCAAGCTGTGTGCAGCCGCTTTTGCATATTAATAGCCTTTCCTTGCTTAAGGTAAAATCTTTTGAACAAGCTGCAGCTGGATTATGGAGCCCCAAACCTATCAATAAAAGGCCCAAGACCCAGCACCAGCACCAACCTGCCTTGCTTCACAGCTGAGCCTTGTCTGGGCATTTCCAACCCGATACAGAGAGGAGGAATCTGCAAATATCTCTGTTACTCCTGCTGGGTGGCCTTAGGCAGTGGCTTTCTTTGCATCTCCCTGGAGGTCCACGAACCAGAGGACACAGTGGTCAGTGTGAACTATACCAGATTGCAGCTCTCTACACATCCATAAGCAACACACTCAAAGGGAAGACTGAGAGAACACCAAAGCCTCACTGAAGCAAGTCCTGCCTCACAGGGATGTCTCCTGCACAGCAGCTCTCCCACTGTAGTCGCAGCTAGTACTCACAGCCAATTGGCCTGAAGGTCAATTTCTTCCAGTGACACCAACAGCAATCAAATCTCAAATACAACAAGACTGTGCTCACAGCCCTCGAAGGGGTGCACCTAGAGCTCCCAGCTCAGGTGACTGGGGAGTAAGACAAAAGCAGCTAGTTACCTACAAGGGAGTGCCCATACAACTGTTAGCTGACTTTTCAACAGAAACCATGCAGGCCAGAAGGGAAGTGGTAAGAAATAATTGATGAATAGCAAGGGCCTACTACAGGCCCAGCAAAGCTATAATTTAGAATTGAAGGTCAGATAAAGAGCTTCACAGACAAGAAAAAGCTAAAGGGTTCATCATCACTAAACCAGTATTATATGAAATGCTGAAGGATATTCTTTAAGAAGAGGAAGAAGAAAAAGAAAAAGATAAAAAATATGAACAACAAAATGGCAACAAATACATACCTATCAACAATTGAATCTAAAAATCAAAATTAAAAAATAAGAAATCCAATGAACAGAATAAACTTGTGAATAAAATAGAATCAGAGGCACAGAAATGGAATAGACTGACAATTCTCAGAGGGAAGGGGGTAGGTGGGTGGGAAGAGATTAAACAAAGATCTTATATGCATATATGCATTACCTTTGGACACAGACAATAGGGTGGCAAAGGCCTGGGGCAGGTGGGAACCTGGTGGAGGGGAGCAATGGTGGGGAAAAAAGAGGGACATCTGTAATAATCTCAACAATAAAGATTTAAAAAAAAATGAAGAGATGCTTACATAAATGGATTGGGTATTTTTAAATCAAATTATTAAAAATAAAATTGCTACCATATTAACAAAAAAGAACTAATACAGATTATAAATAATAAGTACATAGAAATATGCTACTTGGACATTAAAAATGTAAGTTAAATTACTGTGAGCTACTACCATGAGATATCATATCTACTAGACTTGGCTACATGGAGAAAAAAGTATCAAATTCGGAGAAATATGAGAAACAAAGGAAACTTTAATAATTTGCTAGTATAAAGACCTCCCTCCTAACTTCAGTATCCTTTTACATTCCATTCCTATTTTTATCTACAGCCTTTTCTCATTATCCATAGAGAAACCATGCTCACTACTTCCTCTCCTCACGAAAAAAAATTGGTAAAAAAATTTCCTCCAAATTTCCTAGAACTTCCTTTCATTTATCAAATGACCTTCCAGTGTTTCAGCGTCTTCTAAATATTGCTACAACAATTATGGCCTTTCTAGATTTTAAGTCTACTTACATTGTTAAGTGACTCTAACATGGAGGTTCATGGCTTCTCCAATCTATTCACCTCATGGTTTAAAGACCTATTTGATTCACTGTACACTCTATCACTGCTACAACTAATTTGCCATGGTTGTCACTAACCACAAATACCCTATGTCTTATCACAGCATTTTTACCATCCATTTCTTACATTCTGCTATCCTCATAGGATTGTATTTTTGCTCTTCCTATAATCTCAGGTACACAAATACTACCTTTTTTGATCATAATTAAGTCCTTTTTCAGCATGAAGTGCATGATTAGATATTTTTATAAAATTCTTACAATTGTTTGAACTTTCATCAGATCCTTCATGCTAATTTTCCACCATGGCCATACTACTGACTGTTCCCTTTGTTTCAGTGTTCTTCCATAGACTGCTGCTTGAGAGCCACAGAAAAATAATGACAAAGTTTGCTTCAAAGTAATGCCCACTTGTATCAATTAGGCCTTCAATGCTATCCGGCAGTGCTTTAAATCATCTTTTGTTGAATTATTCTGATTTTATTATTCCTTTCTCATCATTCTATTGAATGGAGTTTTAAGTGCAGCATTTAAAATTAATTTATTATGTGGATTTCCTTTTTTTGGTACATTATTCCATTGGAAGCATAAAATAAATAAAATGAAATCACTCGTACTTACTTAGAAATGGGATTGACACTGGCTTCAATAATTGTTAAACACTTACAGCACTTTATGCTTTCTGGAAAATCTTGTACACCTAAAATGTAAAAGAAAAATTACATGAAAATGTTCCAGTAAAAATTCTCTAAGCTATAATGATAATATTAAGAATAATTAATCATACAATATAAACACTGTGGGTATTATTATTTAAGTAAAAATAATAACTTAATGTTATATATATATTCATCATATCTACAATACATACATTTAAAAAATTAAATGTTAAATATTTTATGACAGTAATAATTGGAAACTGGATAAATATTTGAGGACAACCGTGTTTGATATAAGATAGATCTTGGCTCTTTACATATCGAAAGAAATAAAAATAGTTTGGGTTTATTTAGTTACTAGAGGCCCAGTACATGAAAATTCACGCACTGGACGGGGGGAGTCCCTCAGCCTAGCCTGCCCCTCTCACAGTCTGGGAGCCCTCAGGGGCAGGAGGTGACCTGGCAATCAGGGGAAGGCAATGCCCCCATCACACCTCTGCTGCTGCCACGAACAGCAGTGCAAGCCTCAGCCAGCTCTGGTTACCTGAGCCTCAGGTAGCCCTGGGCAGCTGCCACTTGAGGCTTGCCTATGCCTTGGGCTGGCCCTAGGAGGCTGGGCACCTGCCATCTGAGGCTTGCCTGCACCTTGGGCTGGTTCCAGGCAGTTGGGCAGTTGACACCCGAGGCTTGCCTTTGCCTCAGGCCAGCCCTGGGTGGCTAGGGGGCTGAGGGCAGGTCTGGCTGCATTATTAGCCAGCTGCCTCCTAGCTGGGCTGAAAGGACTGGGGGACTCTGGCAAGACAGAGGTGACTGGTTGCCACCATATTTTTGTGATGGTGTGATAGTCAATTTGCATATTAACTATTTATTAGATAAGATTATAGTGCCACTACTGGAATAATGGGACATCAGCAGATACAAGAAAACAGAAGATAAAAATATTTGCTACTGCTGAAATCGGTTTGGCTCAGTGGATAGAGCATCAGGTTGTGGACTGAAAGGTCCTGGGTTTGATTTCAGTCAAGGGCATGTACGTTGGTTGCAGGCACATTCCCAGTGGGGGGTGTGCAAGAGGCAGCTGGTAAATGTTTCTCTCTCATCAATGTTTCTAACTATCTATCCCTCTCAATTCCTCTCTGTGTAAAATCAATAAAATACATTTAAAAAAATATTTGCTACCTTCATTTTATAAGATTGGGAAGACTGAACACATGCATCTGAAAAATACCTAAGGAAAATCACAAAAGCAATGGCTATTTCCAAAGGAATGTGGTACTCTACTGAATCTTATGCAATTTTTCCTATTGGCTCTCATGCAGCTCTGCATCTGCCTGGAGGGTGAAGAGGTGAGCAGCCCTCCTCAGGGCCTCTCTGGAGGCTCCGAGATAGCAGCCTCCATCGTTGCCCTTGGAGAACTGCTCATCTGCTGTCACAGCTGTGCTGTTGGCTATGTGACAGAAAAACACGTTTTTCTTACTGAAAATCAGTAAGCCACAAAACCGAATCCAAAACATGAGAGTCAGGAATAAAAGATGGGGAGGGCATTTCAGTCAATTGATACAAATGAATCAAATATACTAGCCCCTGCAGCTTTATGGAGCAATTCCTATATGCCTGCCCACTACCTGCTCTCAATTTCTGAAACTGTTATTAAGGATATAAAAATGTCCACAAAATACTAGTCCTACTGAGTACTTCATAGCTGACTGAGGGATGAGAAACATTTTGTGATAGGATTTAGTTGAACTTTTGTAGATAGATACTTAAGAAAGAAAACCCCCAGGGACCTAGACCACGTGACCACAGGACCTGGACACCCCGGGCGCAGCAGGTGGTTTATTCAGTGTTAAGTAGGGTTTGAGGACATTTCTCATGCCATTCTTTCCTATGTGGGAGTTCATCAGAAAGTATACTGTCCTCACATTATTGCTCAAGTGTTTTGCCTTCTTAATGAGAACCCTCGTTTAGGAGCTCCATTATGCATGAACTGTATGAGAAAGAACAATTCTCCTTTTTGGAAAGATGTAACACCCAGAGCTGCCTTCATTAACTAGACATTAACAAAATGGCAAAGAAGTCAATAAGCTAACCCTTAAACTATCCTCAACATTCTTCCTTAATATTTATATAATATTTACTTTGGATGTCCGCACCCAGCAGGGTGTAAGGCTTCTAATCCCCTCCCTTTAGCTTTTTCTGTTCAGTCACCAATCTGGGCTCATTACACAGTGTGTGCCTGATGCCTTCTATCCACACTGCCTTAGAATGATGTTTTTTTGAAAGTATGTGTAAACCAAAATATGAAAGCAGAGCAAAATAGGACACGATATTAAGGCAAAGACTACGGCATGTCTTCTTATCTTCTACTGAAAATGGAATTCCCTGCTGTGTTGAAAATGCTACTACATTTTTTTTTTTTTTTATAAAACCTGTATTATGTTGTTCACAGTTTAAACTTTAAATTGTTCATAGCAGAGTCCCTTGGATTAAGATGGAATCCTAACTTTATTACTAAAACAGGTTGGATAACCTTATGCAAGTCATTAAATGTATAATGTTCTAATTTCCTATTCTAAAAAAATGGTGCCTAAATGAATGGTTCCATCAGAGAGTTGCAGTGAAGATTGAAAGAGATAAGTCAGATAAAGTAATTGGCAGAAAGTGCTGCATAATGTTATCTATAGTTATTAGAAATATAAATAGAAGCAGAGGGTAGCAGTCAAAAAGGAACCAACAATTAGGTGAAAACGAGCTGGCTTGAGGTATAAACTTGTAAAATTTATTAAGTTAGGAAAACATAGCAAAGTGATAGGAATTAGTATGATGAAAAATATCCCAATATTTAATCAATATAGTAGCTGACATAAATGTTCTTGCAGATAGGAGATAAGTTATAAAATGATATGTATGAATATATGTATTTATACATATATTTATATTTATAATAAAAAATATAAGATATCCCAATAATGTATACACCCACTTTGAATAATTATAAATGCAGTGTTCATTAGAACACATTTCATTGTCAAAATTGAGCTATCAACTGTTAAAGTACACATACATTTTTGGGGGACACCCTGTAGAACTAGTTGTACTAAGCAATATTTTTATATTTTTTCTGAAATTCTTTTAGCTATCTTAATTTGCTTATGAGAGCTGGGATTTTGAATTTAGGAAAAGTTCTTAGAGCATAAACCCATCTTGTAGTTCAATCTAAACATGGAGAGGTAAGATAACATAGTAGCTAAAAACACAGGTTGGCAAGGTGACTGAATCCCTGTATTATCACTTAACTAGTCATGTAACATTAGACATTATAATATTTGAATCTTATGAGTATTATCTGGTATTAATATAAAGCACTTAGTAGCATGTCTGGCACTTAATAAGCACCTAATAAATACTACCTAAAATTCATGTATTAATAAAATCAAAGGTAACAAATTTCTCCATGCCATTGTATGAAATAATTCCATTCTTCTAGTAATCTTGTGAGGAACATATATTAAGCAACATTATTTTCATTTCATGGATGAAAAACCACACATTCACAAGAATTAACTGACTTACTTAAATACTTAATGAGTGTTTATAGATGGAAACGGATATAGGTGGGATTTAATTCAATTTTTCAACATCGTATCTCTTGTTCCTCTTTACCCCATTATGCTACTTCCTCTTAAAATGATGTTAGATTTATTGTAGAACTCACATTTTTATTACCAATATTTAACATTAGTCTGTCTGACTCTCTGGAACACAGTATCTTTGAATAATTAAAAAGGTTTATATATATATTTTTTGTATGTATTTTTAAATTATATGTTAAATACACATACATACACATTTTCTGAGATGGATTATGTACTAATTTTCAATTTTATTTATTCAGAAATAAGGAGATAACTATTTTTTGCAATTTATTTTATTGCAATTATTTTTACTTGTGATTACTAAAGAAAGTCAGATAAAATATTTGTAGACCATACAATGCAAGTTCTAATCCCTATTTTTCAGTTGACACATCACATAGGCCCTCTAACACAGCCTTTATTTAAGGGCATCACAATTGCATTCTTTGGGAATCCCTGGAGATTCAAGCTCATTATATTTAGACTAGATTCAAACCTAGGCTGAACAACCAATGAGGAATGTATCCTAAACTACTTACACAAGAAGCATTGTGCTTCATAAGCAAAATGGTATATTTATTTTTAAAAATGGACAACTGCCTATTTGCAAATAGCAGATGACATCAATAAATGTTTACCTATTTGCAAATAGTAGATGACATCAATAAATGTTTACCATCCAAATTAGGACACATATTTTCCCAATATGTTTACTTCAGTATCTATACCACAAAATCTCTTTTGAATATGTCCACAGAAATACTGTCAAATGAGAAATGACATTTCTGCATTTGGAATTTAAAATATCTTAAAAGCAAAGCTCCTAATGCAATGGGATTATTGATAATTGCATTAACAAAATATGAATATCTTGAAGAAGAAAAGACATAATAGACTACTTTATTTATTTTCTTTGCCATTTCCCTTTTTAAAAAATTAGGTTGAAAAAATTCCTATTCAACTTTCAATTATTCAAGAACTACTTCACTTTGTGCGGTTTTTATTCTTGTTTACTTTCCTGCTGCCTCCATTTGACCACTTCACTGCTGTGCAGAAGAAGGGAGAAGGAAGAATTTTGAAATCAATCCAATATGAATCTTTCCTGCCTAGCATGGGAAAAGTTGAAAGTCCTGGCTCAATTTAGGTTTTAGTATATTCAGTTAATTGTTTTCACTTGGACTACCCTGTTTATTACTAATGCAGACAAACAGGTCTCACAAAAGGATTTTAAGTCAGTAACAAATATATTGTTCAATTTTATCTCTCTATATAAAAGCCTAAGTGACTGTTTGACCACTTGACAGGTCAACCAGTTGCTGTGATTTACATTGAGCGCAGATACTTATGGCAGGAGCTTCCCCCTGGTGATCAGTATGTTCCTAGAGTGGGAGCACTGCTTAGCTGTC